GGAGGGAGGGAGGGAGGGAGTGCACAAGGGAGAGCTTTCTAAATGAGACGATGCATCCATCCATCCCACTCTCTCTCGGGGTCGAGACAGACTCAATCTCCTTTAAGTCACTCAGCCTCTAATGGTTCCACCACTAAAGTGGCCTAGCAAATGAGGCGTGCAGGAGCAGCAGTGGGGGAAAGCACAGAGGAGACACGGCTGGGACGTGCTTTAGGGGCTGCTGGCTTTACCAACAAACAGCTGTCAGAGAACACAGCTCAAGGGGAGGAGAAAAGGGTGATATGCTTACAGAACTGAAAAATGGAAGAGCCACACTGTGTTTCTTGCTCTCCTGAAGTGAAGTTAGTGCTCACACCAGCCCTACGTGCACTCTCCAGCCTGGGGCCCCTGGGGCTTGGCAGGAAGGCTCGTGTCAGTGCACACAGACATAGCAGCTACCATGAAGACATTGATTATCTCTGCAGAGGTAGCACTGAGCAGCCAACTGCAAACACAGCAGCCTCTCTGCTTTCAGTTCTTTTCCTTACAATCTATCCTGTAGACTACTCCCAGATTAACCTTCCTAAATATCTAGCTTTCATTATGTCATTCTTCTGTTCAAAAACCCAACATGGCTCCCAGCTGCCTACAGGCAGACCAAGTCATCACTGTATCCCCAACCCTTAGCATGGTCTGTACTTGGTACATAGCAGGGGCTTCATAAATATTTGCTGAATTAATGTGTTATTATACCATCAAATCCAAATGCCTTAGCCATGCAGTAAAAGCTGCCCAACCCAACTGATCAACTCACCTCACAATATTTTTTAATACAGCAGTTTCCACAACTGATTTTCCAGGACGTAAGAATTACCTGGGAACTTATTAAATATTGAAACCTACTGTGGAACTACTGAATTAGGCTCTCCCAGAAGTGGAGCCCAAGAATCTGAATTTTTGGCCGCTCTCCAGGTAACCAAAGCTGGTTATCTAGGAATTATTTTATATGCACTCCAGCTAACTCACTCTCCTTTTCTTTCCTTCATTTCCTTGCCCCAGATGTTCTAACTTCTCCCCATCATCTAAAGTCTATATGTATTTTTTTAGCATCTACCGTAACCCTTCTCCTTTACAAGGGATATATATGTGTGTGCAATATCCCTTGGCACATGCATTCACTATGCACATATATGCACAAAAACTGTGCCAAGTTCCTATGTATCTATTCAAATTTGTTCATCATGTCATTTATCTAAATTTTCTTCTTATCCACATTCAATTTCCTTAAAGATAGACAGCATTTTTTTATGTCTCTTATTCCATTCTCCAAGATATAACTATTATTTGTAGTAAATCCTTAATTGCTTCCAATACCCCATAGGAAGTGCTCTTCACACCTCCGAAAAGGATAAGGCTTCAGCTTTAGATTCCGTGACTACCTTGAGAGATCACTTGAGGAAATATAACTGGTAAGTACAGGCCCCAAATGGCAACTCTAGAGACTAGCTGGCTTTCACATTCTCATTCCTCACTGAGTCCTAAGCTGTT